CCCTGCTCCTCCCGACGAAGCCTCCTCACGGCCTTTTGCTCCCACAGCTTCGTCACCAAGAAGAAGCAGGAGATCTGCGCCGACCCCCAGGTCCCCTGGGTCCGGGCACATCTCAAACACTTCCACAAGAAGCAGGACTGACCTGGCCTCAACAGGAACCCAGCTGATGGCCCCTGCCTTTGCAATGGATCCCAGCCCTGTGTCTCTCTGAAGTGGAGCAATTTATTTTATTTAAGTTATTTGCAGTTAACTTAAGTTAAATATTTTTGCTAAAAAAATAGGAAAATGCAGAATAAATAAGTTACATAATTTAAGTAATTTAAATGTTCGGAGCATGCCTGTTAGTGAGGACTCAGGTATTGCTGCCTCAATAAAGTGTTGGGATGGTGAAGCACTGTGGTGTGTCTTGAATCCCAGTGGGAGTCCCCAGCCCAGAGAAGGGGCACCAGGCAGGGACCCCGTGTGCCTGCAGCGCGCAGGCTCGTGCCCTTCCTCCCCGTGGGATGGCTCTGCTCCTGGGGCCCATGCCCATCCCCACGGAGGGGACATCTGTGTTGCGCTTGGGGCTCCCAGCCCTCGTTCCTGCCTGGGATTCTTGGGATATCTCCACCTCTTGGAGTCCCTGCAGCCACTGTGATGCGCAAGGGTGTTCCACGGTCCAGGGCTGCATCTCCCCCCTGCTTCCATAGGACGCGGGTGCTCAGCCCTCCAACACCCGCCGGGCCCCGCAGCGCTGGCCGGGCCCCCGATGCCGCTCGGCCGTAATGAAGCGGCCGGCGCTGGAGGAGGAAGGTGAGCCCGGAGCATCCTGGTGGCTGCCCCTGGCAGGGGTTTTGCAGGGAGATCGGGTCAGGCTTTGCAAATGCAGCTTCCCCACTATCCATGTGCCCGGAGCACCCCCATCCTGCCCGTGGCCGGGGGTGACAGTGTCGCTGTCCTCCAGCCACGTGTGTGCTGTGCCAGCGGGCAGACTGCGACCCCGAGCTCTTTGGGCAGACGTTCCACCAGGATGGGCTGCGTGTCCACGAAAACTGCCTGGTGAGTCCCAGGCCTTGGCGCCCGGCCACCGCACGCGCTGTCCCCATGCGTGCGCACGGCGTCTCTCCCTCCCGCAGTACCACGCCAGCGGGCTGAGCCAGCGCGGGGCCGATGGCGAGGGCTTCTACGGCTTCCTCTTCCCCCACA